GATATTTTTGGCTGCTAATGGATTTTCCTTTTTCAATATTTCTAAACTGATTTGGAGTGTAACTAATTTCCAAGGCGGGGTGGGGTTGTGGGTGATTTCTGTTATTTCGATGTCTGTTAGTTCGTGTTCTGTTGATAGTGTGTGTATTATGTGGTTGTAAGCTTACGCTTACATAATCCGGGGTCCCTGCGGCAGAGGCAGTGCCGTCACAGTTGAGCGAACCCGATCATGTCTTTGTTAGAGTAATTACTGGAAGTTTCAAACGACAGTACATATTATTATACGAGTGTTAAACTTGTTATGGCTGAGATAATTGGATAACCCATGGTCATCGGTCCGTGTTCAAAACCGAGTGGGGATTCCCCACATTCACATGTCACTTAAACGCTTGAATATGTGTATTCAGCCAACCTGAAAAAGCGCTTTAATGATTCAGAATGACACAAGCATGGCGAAGACGTCTACGATAGGATGATTGTTTCTGGTGTCACAACAGATAAAAACGATCGGCTTTTGGCTTTTGTGGATGATGACGGTGTTAGAAATCACAGCCTTACTAATTATCCCAAAGCACGCGTGTTGTTTCGATACGTAGGAGTAGGCCTATCTACTACCTGCAGACTGTACGCAATGTAAACATAACGGGCTACCACGCGTGACTGAGGATATCACTGGAACATAAGTTTTGCAGCAGCACTGACACTGACTTGTATGAAGCAGCCTTCCAACACTGGAGTGCCAGCAAAAGGAGGAGGATTCTTTTCCCTTCCGAGTAGTAGACTTTTTAAAGACAATGTTGAGTGAACATTTTTCACCCTGACAGGTGTACTACAGTGACATTCGTTTACAATACAACACAGTAACTCTAGTGATTTCTGTACAAGAACAATGCAAATACAGAAATGAATTCAAGGTCAGCTAGTGTATTTCAAACAAGTGTCAATACAGAAAAGTGTAACTCTAGTGATTTCTGTACAAGAACAATGCAATATAGAAATTAATTCAAGGTCAGCTAGTGTATTTCAAACAAGTGTCAATACAGAAAAGTGTAACTCTAGTGATTTCTGTACAAGAACAATGCAATATAGAAATGAATTTAAGGACAGTTAGTGTATTTCAAACAAGTGTCAATACAGAAAAGTGTGACTTATTTAATGAGAGTGTAATTAATTAAAGTAAAATTGTTTTGTTATTTATATTGGTTATGTATTGTAAAGTATTATTCATTGGTGCTTTGTAATAAAGAAGTTTAAAATTAAAATTTTTGTGTGTTTAGTTTTCCATGATGTAAGGTTAATTAGATTTAGTTGATGTAACACAACTTGATTTTCATATATGATTGGGTGAATTAAGTTAGCTTAAACAACAGCTTGGTTAATGTTCAATAGTTTATCAATATATCCCATATAGGTAGTTCACTGGGGTGTGGATAATTACTTGCATATATACATTTAGGTTGGTGTAGTCTGTGCCACGATAATCTTATCAGTGGGTGTACAGCTTCGGCCAGTTAATTAATTAGAGACTATCCCCACTTCCTTGATAATTAAACTTATGTAATTTATCGTTCGGACAGTGGCCACCTAGTGGTGGAGTAATTATCAGGGTCTATTTCAAGTAACAAATTAGCACGGGGAATCTCAACTTGCACCTCGAGTACAGGTGGCTATACTTCAGCAATCGTATCATTTAGCAACAAGTGAAGTCTATATTAGGAGATGGCCCGACAAGCTTGGCCAAGAGTGGATAAAAAGGGGGGAGATCTTTAGGTTAGGGCGACAGCCTTGGGGGAGCCCAGCAGACGGACAGACGACACCACACCTATATACAGTGCCAGCAATAAACCACAGAAGTACCAGCAGCAGAGTTTGTCTCTTGTTTTGTTACATTGATTCAATTTCTTGAAAAGGCTTCAATCAAACGTTACTCGCCAATATGCCAAGGCTACTCTCTGAAGAAATTGGCTACTAAAAATCACACTTGGCTATTTTTTTGGCTACTGATAATTTTGGTTCAGGGTGAGCCCTGTAAGGGGATTTTTCATGTTTTTTTTGTTTTTCTATATGTTGTGTTTTTTGCTTGTTGAATTAGTGTATTTGGTGGGAAGTGTTTGGCTAATCGTTGTGTCCTAGCCCAGTATTTGAGTATGAATGAGTTGCGTTTGAGTTGGAGTGGTTGTTGTTCGCCGGCCTCTGCTGGACTGTTGGTGTGTTTTTGATCGCACCTAGGACTATCCTAAATACTTTGTGTTGTATGGTGTCAAATGTTTTGAGGACCTTATCTAAGACTGTCGTGTAGACCTGGGAGCCATAATCAATTATTGATTTGATCGATATTCTATGGAGTTTAATTAAGTTTCTTTTTTTGGTTCCCCAATTTTCCCCAGAGATATAAGAGAGAGTATTTAGTGTTTTTGCACATCAGTTTTTGATATATTTAATATGAGGAATCCATGATAGATTTGGAAATTTGATTCGCCTCGCAAATAACATGGCCACTGTTTTTTTTCTTTTGAAATTTTGAAGCCCCAGATATTCTCCCATTCTTGTATTGTGTCTGTTGTTCTTTGTACTATGCTTCGTGTCTATGTTGTTTTCTGTGCGCCAAACACTGGTGTTATCTGACCTACTATTCCTATGTTATATTTATTTCTGCCTTCCGTTAGTTTTTTTTATCAAGTTTATTAATGTAAATGTTCGATAGGGTTGGAGATATTACGCTACCTTAGGGGACTCCTTTGTCTAATATATGTTCCTTAGAGTATTCATTATTTACTTTAATTGTTCTATCCTTAAGAAAATCTGTGATAAATCTAAAAATATTTCCGGTTATGCCTACATCTTTAAGGGATAGCAAAAGATTCTCATGCCAAACTAGATCGTATGCTTTCTCTAGATCGAGGAATACTGCTAGAGTGTGTCTTTGAGTACTTAACTGATTTTTTGTATCTGAAGCCTAATCAAGTGTGGACCTCTGTTTTCGGAATCCACTTTGATTATGACTAATTGTATTATTTGCTGTAAGTAAGTGTTGAATTATATTGTTTATCATTGTTTTTACTGTCTTACAGAGGTGGGAGGTCAGTGTTATAGGTCTATAGGAGACCGGATTTTCTTTATCCTTACCAGGTTTTAGAATGGGCATTACTTCGGCATTATTCCAAGGTTTAGGATATTTCCTGTTTTCCAAACAGTGTTTATGTATTTTATAATGATATTTATATTGTGTGGACATTTTTTAAGATGGTATATCATAATTTGTCTATGCCTGGTGAAGTAATTTTCTTTTGTTTTAATGCCTTATGGTATTCATTTAGGATGAATGAGATATTAAGGCCAGTATTGATGGGACCCGGAGCAGTAACGATATGGGGGAGTTTTTGTTATCTAAAACTTTTTGCTTTGCAGTTATTGTTGCTGCTAGCTGTTCGGAATTGTTTGGTCAAAACGTTTGCCTTTTCGGCATTAGTCCTACCTTCAGCATATTTACCTGATATGGGCATGGCACAAGTGGGGGGGATATTACTCCATATTTCTTTATTATTGCTGTTATTTAGGGAATTGCAGAATTCTATCCAGTGTTGGTTTTTGTGTTGTTTGCATATTTTATTGCATTTGTTTCTGGCTGTTCTGTGGTTTTTTTTTATGTTTTGTTCGATGGGATTATTCTTGATGATATATTCATGTGAATTACCGAGAAGCTCAAAACTGCCAACACTTGACATGTTGATGTTAAACAGGCGTTATAGGATCATAAACACAAAAACGTGTTCCCATTAAAAAACATATTTATGAATTAAATTTTTGTTTTTAGCATGATAATTTTTCATAAAATGACATGAAAATGAGAACTGCACAACTAGTTCCTGGAGCAAGGAACGATAATCCAAGCTTTTAGGATGGACATAACATATCCTACGCCAACTGGAACGTCATTGAAAAATGTCTTCCTGTTATCTTAGTAGATATATTGAGATCTGGTTCAGTGGAAATATAAATATATCAACGTATTCAAAATATTAATTAATGTAAATATGATAAAGCAGCTGATTGATAGAGTACCTCAAGGAACTTGTCCCTATAAACCAACTCGGACACTGAGGTCACAGTCTGGTGCATTGCTTATTTCCCCCAAAGCAAGGGCTGCCACATATGGACACCGCTGCTTTGATACAGCAGCAGCACACTTGTGGAATAATCTTCCATTTTCCATGAGGAACATAGAATCTCTGTCTGCTTTTAAATCCGCACTGAAAACACATCTTTTTAAAACAGCCTTTAAATTGTGATAGGATTTCTATTGATAGACAGTGTATGATATAGTTTTAATGTTTTAGGTTTTTTGTGATGGACATTTTACATTGATGGATAATGAACGATATCCTTTATGCTTAATTTTTTATGTTATTTTATGTAAAGCGCTTTAGTGTAATCCTAACGAATTAGATAAGGCGCTATATAAATTTAGTATATATTATTATTATATATTATAGTATAGCATCACGAGCCGAAAAACTTGATGTTTCAATTGAAAAAAATATTTACATTAAAACATATCACACACTGTACATACAAAACGTATCAGCTTTTAAAATAAATTGTCCTGTTATGATGGTTAACAGAATGTAATTAATCTTAAAGTTAATACATCATTTTGAACTTACATAATGTCCATTTTTAATGAGTGTTACACGGCAGTATTCATGGCCCTTTGTCTCGTATCATATGTGGAAATTTCTCGTCTGTACCTGCTTTAGTAGGAAGTGAAATAAAAGTGAAGTACTGACATAGAACAGCGATGATGTTTGTTAATTTCTAACAAAACCATCTTGTTTTCTTATCATATTGTCCATTACTACCACTTGGTCAGAACTGTGAGAACACACATACCGACCTAGCACAACGACGTTTTTTTGTTCATTTTTAACAAAAAAAAATCTTGTTTTCTGAACACTCTACCAGATGAGGATTTTTTGGATAATATTAGCGTAACTTTATGCATCAGGTTTCATATAAAGCAAAAGCTGGACCAGAATTACAAAAACAAAATGCACAATACAACAATGATACAACACTGGGAGCGAACGTCACCTGGAAACCGAAGGCTCTTTTTATCGGAGATTTCATGTACCCATACCAAAACGTCACTCGACCAAAGACGAAAAGAAAGACCCTTATCGGGATGATCATCATGGATTCTGGTGAGAGAAAAGATGCCAGGAGTGCGGAAGAAGCCACGTGTAACACTAGCTGTTCCATGGTATTCTGTATATATCGCTTGTGGACCTCGATCAGATGTTCCCCGCGTCCTTCAATTGGGTCAATGGCGCTGGTGAAGAATCGCTTATTGGCAACCACAAAAATACCTGTAATTACAATATAGATAGTATATAGTTTATTTTAGAATATCCCTGTTCGAATAATATGCCCTAAAGTAATTTTCAAGGATAACTTCTAAAAGTATTGAATTGTATTTCAAAGAATTAAAGTTTTTCGCTTTGTCCTTGAATATGTTCACACCAAGTAATGACAGCTGTTATCTGTTCAGACTCTCTTTCTGTACTTCAAAGTCTTAGCAATAGAAATATCGAAAATATTTTCACTAGTAAACATTAATACTATGTCATGGACTTGCCTTTAAAGTTCGTATTGCTTTTTGCATGGTTCCTGGACACATGGGAATACCAGGCAATGAAAAAGCAGATCGTGCCGCAAAGGAAGCTTTATCGCTTTTTAAACTTCGTTTTACTTAAAGTTAAAAGCAAGTTCATGATATAGTATTAATATATTACAAATGAAAACATTTCCCATATTTCTGTTGCTAAGACTTGTAGTACAGAGAGTCTGAATAAATAACAGCTCTCATTACTTTGTTTGAATATATTCAATGGCGAGGTGGATAGCTCACGCCTCTGCCGAGAATATTGAGGCGTTGTTCGGTATCCGTTACGAATGTCACGATAATGATTAGCTTCATATCGTGAAAAAAGCAGAATATATCTCCATGAGGTCACTATGACAACCGTAAAACTTGCCCATAATTTTTATCAACTTTCATCTTTAGAAACCCTGTATTACCAGCCTGTATGTATGACTTCTTGCACGGAAATCACGATAAAAGGATAAGGCCTTTTGATATTGAATTAATGGGACGTTTTACGGTCGTCATAGAGTCGTTATAGAGATGTCATTGAGATGTCATTGAGAAGTATTACTTGGCGATGTCGGCCATATGTCTAAAGGTCTCTTTGTGGATGAGTAGTTACGAATATAATGATAATATAATGGTGATAAGATAAACTCATTTGTTTTATATAGATATAGATATAAACAATTTTCTTCTTATTTGTTCACTGTAAAAGATACGAATGATATCGATATATTGATAACATGTTTTGTGTGAGTGGTGTATTGAAGTGATAAATCTGATAAGCATCATTGTTATTCATTTTCGATCAATACAGAAATTTGATAAATCGCTTGTAAAGACAAACAAATAAACGTCTATAAAGGAATACAATAATAACATATGCAAAATCTGAACAAATCGGCACAATTTAAATGAATATGACAAGCGATGAGTGAGGTCTTACTGGTCAGGTCGACAAAGGTTGGGTATATTTGATGTTTGTCATTTTTGTATTACGTATATAACGATGGTTACATTATATATGGATGACATTGTCTATACTAGAGTCATAATTTACATATTTGTTTGTATTGTAAAATCCTGTTTTTGCCATGCTCAAAGTATGCGATAAAGTGGATATACATCGGCCTTGTTTGTATTGTAAAATCCTGTTTTTGCCGTGCTCAAAGTATGTGATAAAGTGGATATACATCGGCCTTGTTTGTATTGTAAAATCCTGTTTTTGCCGTGCTCAAAGTATGTGATAAAGTGGATATACATCGGCTTGTTTGTATTGTAAAATCCTGTTTTTGCCGTGCTCAAAGTATGTGATAAAGTGGATATACATCGGCCTTGTTTGTATTGTAAAATCCTGTTTTTGCCGTGCTCAAAGTATGTGATAAAGTGGATATACATCGGCTTTGTTTGTATTGTAAAATCGGCTCTTGTTTGTATTAAAGTAAAATCCTTGTTTTTGCCGTGCTCAAAGTATGTGATAAAGTGGATATATCGGCTTTGTTTGTATTGTAAAATCCTGTTTTTGCCGTGCTCAAAGTATGTGATAAAGTGGATATACATCGGCTTGTTTGTATTGTAAAATCCTGTTTTTGCCGTGCTCAAAGTATGTGATAAAGTGGATATACATCGGCCTTGTTTATATTGTAAAATCCTGTTTTTGCCGTGCTCAAAGTATGTGATAAAGTGGATATACATCGGCTTTGTTTGTATTGTAAAATCCTGTTTTTGCCGTGCTCAAAGTATGTGATAAAGTGGATATACATCGGCCTTGTTTATATTGTAAAATCCTGTTTTTGCCGTGCTCAAAGTATGTGATAAAGTGGATATACATCGGCCTTGTTTATATTGTAAAATCCTGTTTTTGCCGTGCTCGAAGTATAGGATCTTTTTAGTGCTTGATTTCGTGGATAAATTTTGTTGATATCAACTGTTATAATTCTTAAAATTTTTCAACTATTGATCATTGAAAAATCTAAGAATTATAAACGTTGATATCACATGCTCTGAGCACGGCGAAATCAGGATTTTACAATAAAAATTGCTCGCGGATTAATACATTCAATGACTAACATTTAATACTAATTCGACGAAAATAAACGCCCCCGGAAATCGGTAATTACAATACCATCAAGAGTTATGTGCCGCTACTGCCTTGTAATAGTACAACATGTCATATTACTAATGGCTTATTGAAGTAAAGTGTTAGCTCATTGAAAGGAATCGCTAGATGTTTGCCGAATTGACGTAACCAACTGAGCTTTCATTCGACAGTAAATTTCAAACAATTCGGAAATAATGTTTTTTGTCCTCGAACCAAAACAGCTCACTTTACATTTGTAAATTGGTTGCTGTGTCTGTTATCTACATGTTTACATACCAGCTGATTCCAATTAATCTATCGTGTGTTGTTCATTCCAGCAAATTATATGATACAAATTATAGTTTGATAAGAAAGTAAACGGAACATCAGACTTTATAAAATAAATAGATGTTCTGTAGTTAAGGAATCAATTGATGAAAACGAACACATACATGATAAACAAAGACAATATCACTGTAATATCTGCTAGAAATGATCTTAAATGTAAATATTTAGAAACACCAACGTGTTGGTAAAACTTACCTGCTGTTAATGTTAGAACGGACCATATTTGCCAGCGTAAACAGTAAAGAATTCTCATGGACACCGTCTCCAGTCGTGGCATGGGTGCTGGCAGCAACATAAATCCCAATATGCACGTGACTACACATGTAATAACACCCCCGATAATGTTGTTCCGAACATATTTCCTATCGTCAGGATATGACTTCATAATGTTACAAGTAGCTTTGAAGAAATGCACATAAACACGCTACCAGATCAACTGTAAACTGCTAACGTTACTCCACATAGGTAAAGTGGCGTCTACATTTCTGGCAGTCACTCGGTCCGAGGTGTGTAAACATACCTGTCAAATTTGTACCTGTCGAATTCCTTACCGTGACACGGGCAATTGACCTGGCATAGGTATAACAAAGAACAGGTAAAGACTATGTACTAATCCAGGTCTTCTTATTTAAATCTTTTTACGATCTTGTACGCTATGGTGGAAACCATTTATCTACTGAACGTATTCGCAGATGTTGGTACTAAAATTATATCAAATTGAACAACGAAAATAAGCATTTGGATATATAAGTTTCCGAGTCTGATAGTCAATCACGGAATCTTATCAATTTTCAAAATTGCTGATGAACTCATCGCGTTGTTTATGTGTGCCTACGTTAGTACGTTTTGTATTAACATTACAACATTATTATGAACGACTAAAATCATGTCTGATGACAATGGCTTTCCACCATCGTGCTATTAACAATCATGTTAGTTCAATCATTCCTAAGGATTGCAATTGTGGGTCGTGAAAATGTTCGGACGTCGACTGCACTTTAGTACGAACATCAGAATCCGCCAAGTTGATTACAATAGTGGTATTATTTTTCTCGTAACTTTACAAGTTTAAGGACCCTTTTTATAACGCTTCAGATTTATAAAATTCTAGGTTATCTGAAAGATTTTGGTCTTTATCATTTTAATAAACATTTTTAAAGTGACGATCGATTGAATTTCTATTATTCTTTGTTCATTTATATCTGTTTAATGTATAAATGATTTCAAAGTCAAACCTTGTATCATGTTAGTTGATTTAGCCAATTTTGAAAACAGCAAATCATATCTGTAATTTACCATACCCCTTTTGGTATCTCAAAACCCCACTTCCAATCACTCTTTTTCCTTATTTTCTCTTGTGTAAAACAGAAAGTTTGACATGAACAAATTAGGAAGATTATATATCGGGACACAAAAGCGGGCCTCACAGACTTTTTACATTCCTGAGACACCTCAATTTTCACGGCTTAAAACGAAACACGAGAGCACTGGCGCACACGGTGGAGTTTAATACTGTCGAACTATTAACCCCATTGTAATTGCGGGTTCTACTTTGTGTAAGCGGAAACTAGTGACGTGGCACTATAACATGCTGTATTATGAAGTGCGAAAGTTTAGAAGAATATGAATTGTTCTTCATCTATCTGTTCCTGCCTTATAATTGTATGAATACCTTTATATTTCACTGATATCCAGACACTGTCATTTGGTCATTTTCCTACAAAATAGTGCGTGTTTAGAGTTTCCCGACATTTTACAGCAATGCCGACTACAATAATCATGCATGTCACCATGGAGACAATTGGATAGAGCCTTTCAATGAGGAATATAATTAGAGTGAAATATCTGCACCGTACAGCTGTTTCTTCCTTATAGAACGATGTTCAGCCTTTTATTTATTTGCAATTCAGAAGAAGACTTCGGGGAAAATGTTTAAATATGTCAGAATAAATATCAAAATTTAATAACTTACATTAATTTTCAAAATTGGATATTCTACAAAATGTCATGTGCGTTATTTATTCTCAATAGTGATACTATTCAAACGAATTTTAAAAATACCGACATGGCAACATCATCATAATCCAAACTCACTTTTCATAAAATAAATGCAAAATATGAACAAAAGAAATATTTACACGAGGGCTCCTGAAAGATTAATTGACTAACGGGGTTACAGCAAGCGTCAGGAGACTTAATTGTCCACCAGCAGACAGACACTATCTTTTATGGATATTTCAATATAGAAATAATATCTTTTAGGGGAAGACACTTAAGAAAGAACACATGCTGCATCTACAACAAAGCGCCGGCACATGTCAACAATTTGGATTTCCATAATTAAACTTTTTGATCTCAAAGTCACTGACCTTCGTTTCCTTCTGGCAATATTATATATAGTTATAAATTTTCAAACAACCATTTTTAGATCGTATCCGAGGATTTATTTTTGATATTCGGTATCTCAAAACGCTGCCTCAAACTTGTTATACAACTACAAGAAGGGCCTTTATATGGGGAACATGTTCGTCATGTCGGTAATATCAATTGCATTGAAGTTCGTATAACACAATTAGTAGAAGATTAATTAAGATTAATTTGTCTTCTACTATTCTATAAGAAGGTCGCATTTTTGCATCTAAAAAGTAACACCAAAGACTAAGTTCTATCGGCTATCTCGGCATTTCAATACATATGAATTGTGTTATGTATAAATGGCTGAACTGGCGACGGACAAGAACAACTAAGGATGGCGTTAACTGAAATTTCTTTCAACGTAAAATTAACACTAAAATATTCATATTTAAATGTTGCCATGATTAAACCAAGCAGAAGAATACAGATTATCTCGTGCTGATTGTTTTGAAATTGGTGTTTCAAAATCAAATAAACCCGTTTTATTGAATAATTTTAACACTTCTCGTTTTTATTGGTATCCCTTTAATTACTGTAATTTTCATTTAAACATTGTATTTTTGAAGATAACGTTGGTTACTGCTCACTGGAAATAACTAGAATTATCAGTATAGGATGACAGTTTTGATGGTATGCATGTATTGACACTGTCTATATTCAGTGTCACAATATCTGTTTCATGACACTTGATAACTCTCCTTTAACCTTCATATTCAATATTGCTTATCTCAGGTGACCGTCAAGGCCACTAGGCCTCTTGTATTTATTGCAATGCAAACGAAGACTTCGGGAAAAATTCAAAATATGCCAGATTTAATTGCAGAATTTAATATTTTACAATAATTTTCAACATAGGATATTCTAAAGCATGTCGTAATAATTATTTGGTGATGATTACTTTGAAATTGTTTCAAAATCAAATAAAACCATTTTATAGAAGAATTTGGATTCTTTTGTTATTGGTTCCCCACTTTTCGGTTCACGACTAATCCACTAGATAAAGCTACTGAACCCGCCCAAAAACATCACAGTCTTTACGAGATGATCAATGCCCAGAAGTGAATCTGTGTTAGGAATGCTTCATAATCGGTTCGCTGAACAATACAATTCAAAATCAATTGTCAAAGGAAATATTTCTCGCAAACGTAAGGTAAGGCATTGAAACATGGCACATCGTCCCACTTTCCAGAATAGGATATCACACAACAATCCTCGGACGAATGCCAGTCATCTGGTGCGTCGTCCTTCCAGTTGAAATAATGGATTTTAGGTCCAAATTTGCTCCACCGCCAGTCACCTTCATTAATGATATCGTTGGCAGCTATCATGACTTGTGGTAGTCCTTGAGACGAATAGAAACATATTTATTGGAACCATCCAGCGACAAACATGAAATTTTATTTTAAAGAAATCAAATGAAGTCGTATGGCAAACGCTAAAGCAGTTAGGAATGTTGTACGGCGGAAAAGTCACATGTAATATTGAATGCAAAAATGGAATGCATGTATCGAAACTGACTTCATAGTAGAAAAGAAAGTTTAAAAACAAAATCAAGTTTCTACAAAACATACTAAAATATTATTGAACACAACGTTTTAACAAAGGTAAAAAAAATCTGTAATTAAGGGGTTGCAGTGCCCGAAGGTGTACTACACATTTTCTTAGTACGATCTATGTTCTATTATCCTAGTTTTAATGTAAGCAAAGCTATACTCGCTACACAAAATTTCAACAAAGGGCAAATAACTCGCCACGCTTCAATACTCTAGATTATTGAAATGTAGGCAAAGTTATGCCCCGGAGAAAGGGCTATAACTCTTAAATAATTGAAGGATCTATGGCTCTTAATTTTTGTACACTGCACATCGTTTTAGTAGGACACATGTATACACCAAGTTTCGGACCCTTCCTTACCTGTGGGCAAAGTTATACTCCGGACACGGAAGACGGATGGACATGGCAGCGACTATATGCTCCCCCAAAAATTTTCGGGGAACATAAAAAACAGAGATGCTAACAGAGATCTTAGTTATCAACGTAAGAAAGAACATGCATGTCAACACATTTCATCAAATACAAAATAAAATTGCATTCCATACTTCTTCGAGTTTTCTCCATTGTGAGGAAATTATTGATTGCCCGAGTGTCCACTGTAGCTAAGTGACCTCCATGGGCAACACAATCTGCCTGAAATAGATAATATCAAATAACGGAGTTGAGAACACATCACAACCATTGAAACAAATACACACATAAGAAACAAATTACGACATTGTCCTCCTTCAAAATTCAAACTCAAGAAAATACCAATATGGCAACATAATCAAAATTCATTAAAACTAGGGCAAAATATGAACAAAAGAAAGTTTACACGGAGACTCGCGAAAAAGTACAAGGAGAACAAGACCGAGTGTTCCGTCAGAGTAAGCGTCTTCTACTTTATCGACGACATCCACCATGTAAATATTGGTCAATCCAAGTGAGAAATGTCACGTGTTTTTAAATTTTTCAGTTTTTTTTCTATTTCTATCATCGTTACGTAATAAAACAGAAAAATGTGATTGTTTTTTTTTTTTTTTTTTATCATACGTAACAAAAAGTATTTAATTTCACAACTTTACCTCGGCCTGCTTCCAAGTTAGTCCTTGATTTTGAAAGTAATAACACTTTATTCCAAACACCACCCAGCCTGCATCGCATGTTAACTCTATGGAAACAAGAATTGTAGGTTCTACAGATGATATTCGAGGGATGTTAACGATGTTACTCCTGCAGACAAGAAATGGTATTTGCCGTACAAGTTACATAAACCATAAGAGTGTCTTCATCTGTTATTAAGATTATCGTAACTCTTAATGCACAGTTTATTTTACTAACGTGTTTGGCTACCTATTACTCTAGTTTACATAAAGCAGAATGTGTTGGTTTTTTGTACTGACATGGAAAAATAATTATTTCATACTTTTTTTT